ATTTAACATCTTCAAAGGATAAGGTGTCATTATTACCATACAACATAATTTCTTTGAAGTGTTTGTAGGTAGAAGGTAAGGAGACAACCAACAAAACAGCTTTATCTTCATCATCGATTTTAATATCGATATTTTGCAGATCCATAATAATAGAATTAAACTCATCAAGATGAGATTGAATGAGAGTACCTTCTATCATACGGAACGTATATAATCGCTCCTTGAGACGAAGCTTGTTGGCGAGGCTTTTAGTCATATACAAAGTTTCCAACCTTAACCACAATTTCGCAACGGTAGTTATGTCAGCCACTTCACGTAGAACCTCCTTGGACAAGCAATGTTAGATTGCTGAAAGTGCCTTTTCATCCAACTCGTCCCATTGCTCATCAGTCACGGAAGCCGGTTTTTTTTAATTTTCCATCTAAAGCTTTCTTTAATCCGTTCTGAGTGAGAACAGCTCTTATATTTTGTAACGGTTGACATTTCCAATTAAATAACTGCTCTGATACCACTTGTTGGAGTATCAACGCAATGCGGAAGACTGGATCGAATTTAATTAGAAATAAAGAGAAGGAAGAAAATAATGGAGACAAAATTTTAACGTGGGAAAAACTCCAAATCGGAGAAAAAAACTCACGGACAACGACGAGCAAAATAATTCTACTATATAAAAGGGAGAGTACAAAAAGTCCTCTAAAATTATGAGGACAAAGAGTAATAAATCACTCTATTTTTTCTTTCAATAAATACTCTCTCAGAATAGAATAAGAACTACAAAATAATACTCTCAAATTTTTTATTCTAATAAGTGAATGATCGTTTTCTGGTGTGTCATTCAATCGTTCCTATACTGAGTATTTATAGGCAAAATTTTGTAAAGATTTTCAATATTGCTACAGTAAATTACTGTAGTAATTTTGACAAAATATGATCGGTGCCTACCAAATACAAAAATCAAAATCGGTACCTAACTTTGCAGGAAGGAACGAAAACTGAGACACCCTTTTTTACTAACACCAACCCAACGAAGGGGAAAAATCCCCCACACAGAAAGCCGTGAACTGATTCAACATCTTCCTTCCAATCTCTCCAAAGCTTCTCTTATCATCAGGTGAATCATACTTCTGTCCAAGAACACATCTAGCCATGATGTTATTAGTGAGTGAAATCAACAACTCACTGAGATTCACACAGGACCTTTTATTTTTACACGCTTCATGTATAGCACCAATCATTTCTGCCACTTCTTCAACACGAATGAACTGAAACGATCGCACACTTCTCATGCTTACAAGCTCAAGAACACATATCTTCCTTTTCTGTTTCCACTCTTCGTTGAAGGGGGCGAAACCCACGTCCTTGTATTCCATAGAGAAAGATTTCAGCAGCGGTGGCCTTGGGGCGGTTGGAGAAAACGGCGTCGTGGGTTGTGAATATTTCTCTGGCTATATCCGAAGAAGAAACAACTAGTGTTGGGACTTGGCCTAGCTGTAGCAACATGAGAGGGCCATAGTTGTGAGAGGGGGCTAGGAAGGAACGATGTGGCAATGTGCCTTGTTGATGAAGGTTGCCAACAAAGGGTAGCTTTGGTGGGGATGGAGGTGGGTTGGATTTGGTTCTTCGTGTGAACTTGAACGTAATCAAGAAGGCGCTTAAGATGCAAAGTACAGATACGTAGAAAGCTGAATTTGACTCCAAATTTTGGATTAACTGTAGATCCATTATTTTCCTTGTACTGTTTCGATTTTCGAAGAAAATGAATCGGCTTGTCCAGCCACATCATTGCGGGTTTATTTATACAATTGTATGCTTTTATAAATTGACCTGAGTGTAGTATTTGTAGTTTGTACGAGAAATATTGTTTTATCAGATGGGGTTTCTATTGTGGCTAAGGATCCCAAGTCAATTATTTTTACATGCGCAAGTATCATCGACACTCTTGACCCGCATTTAATGCATGACATCATTGGCTGCTAGATTATTATACTTTGTGGTAATCCTAGGAATACACTAGTTTTACGCAATCTCTACTTTGTCCTATGATGCGATAATTTTTTAAAATATTTTAATAATAAAATTAATATTCAGTATAAAATAATAAATATTATTTAATATTTAAAAGTTAATCTTTTTTATAAATAATATATTGAATTAATAAATTTTATGATTTAGTCCTATGTTATCTTTATAATTATTTAGACATCAAATACATGCACATAAATTAATTAAACATCAAATGCAATATAGATTAAACATCAAATACATGCACATAAATTAATTTAAATTAGACATTTTTATTAAAAATATGATAATTAATTTATTAACTTTTAAACAAAACAAGACCTTTTATAGGTAGGGAGATAAATTTGATTCTCTTTTGGTATTGCACAAAAATTACAAGAAAGAATCTTCAGTGCATTTTCCAGACAGTGAGAGGACTTGAATTTGATATGGATCATCAGTCATTGCAGGAGATAACAACAATTTAGAGAGTTAAAAGTATACAAGCTATATAAAGGTTTGATTCTGTGAATTAGGTTGAAGCATGAATCATCTTAAAAGAGCTAAAGTCAGATGGTGACTACACGACAATGACAAAGTTGGTAATAAACACAATTATATATATAGGTGAGGTGAGGTGTTATTTTGGGAGCTAGTAAAAGCAATGACATTGAAGTTACTAGTGAAATAAAAAGTGACGAAAATAGCAATAATTAATGATAGTGCTTTGCATGCTACAACACATCTCGAAAGATGGTTCATATCCACGATTGTAGTTGATGACAATGCTGAAATTTTTTATAGATATGAATTTGACTCACTGGATAGCATGGACGGAAATTCAGTGGATGAGACGAGTAAGTTCAAGAATAACCTTACAACCCTGCAACGATGATATGAACTACAAGTTAGAAGTAGCGCTGAAATTTACCTGATACATTTAAATGATCCACAACTTACACACTCATAGGAGGACCTGATTACAAACTTCTTAAAAAAATCTATTTACAAATTTTAAAAATTTAGAGACCATTTTATAATTTAATATATAGTACAGGGACTTGCAATATAATTTAACGTATAAAACTATAGATTTATATACAATAAAATGACGTCAAATATTAAATTTAGTAAAATGATACTACTAGTAATTTTTTTATGAAAAGTAGATTTTATTTAATTTAAAGTTTTAATAAAGTAAATCAAGTCTACATAAATTCACACAATTTATATACTAATTAATATTTTATTATTTTACTATATTTCAATGGATGTTATATTATTTAAAATATAAGTAAATAGATGCTAATGTATTATATATAATTTATGGATCGATATATAAGTATAAAACATAGTAATAATTACTTAAAAAGATATTTGAGTGTATTGATGTTTGCATTATGAATTTTTGTTTGAATTACAAGTAATATGAATAGACAGAGATTTTTTGAAATGATTTTTTTTAAATTTTTTTTTTTATACTTAATCCCTTACATGTTATTAATTCATTTTAGAATTGTAACCTGAGGAGATCGAGACAGAATCGAATAGAATTTATAACATATATTTATTCAGTGAAAATATTATATTTAACATTCAACGGAGGTATATATTATAATGAATTTAGATTATCTCTCACTGGTAACATTACCATTTAATTTTGTTTACCCTTAAGTGAATCTTGTGATTTTGTGACAATGATAGATATAATAGAGAAATGATGATAGTGATGAGAATAATATTCTAGTTGTTCTTTAAGTCAAAATAAAATAATAACAATAAAATAATTTTTGGTAACACAATGACGAGGGAATTAGAAGTGAAGATGGGACCTTGAATTAAGGCAACTCAACGAGACTCAGCAGGATTGACTTGGTGAATTGGTTTGGACTCATGCCAAGGGTGTGAAGGTTTTGGAGATGCGGGAAAAGTAGAGGGAATTGCTCAAGTGAATCAGTTGTTGGGTAAGAAAATGATTCAGAGTTTGGTGAATGGTGAGTTGGTCAATTTGAGGAGCGAGGGATAGGACATGTGACAATTCTGGGAGAGAGGATGAGTTGAATTAACTCAACAAGTGAGGAGATGAACAAAGAAAATAAGCCGACAAATAGGAACAAGTTGGTGTTATAGGAGAGATAATTGAAGACTTGGTTGAAAAAGCTGGTGAAACAAGTGAAGGATGAGCATGACTAGGGTGCAATGAGGTTCTATGTGGAGAAGAAGGGTTTAGTAGGAGAAAGTTCTGAGTATGTTTTTTTAATAGAAAGAAGGGCACTAAGTTTCAATTAGTCTATTTTTGGGTGATTAAATTGTTAACTCATCATTTTTTTAAGTGAGTTGATATTTATTTAAGCAAAATTGTATTGTTTTATATATTTAGTCTTGCATTATTCATTCAAGTAAAAATAAAATTGATGATATTGATTTTATCACAATGAAAGAGAATTTAGATTCTTATAATAGTATAAATGCACGCATATTTATAATAACAAAATCTGTGATTTTTTTTCATGTGATTAACTTGCGATAAATAAATATATTAAAATGCATTTAATATGTAACTTAAAATTAAGTGTTTTATGAAAAAGTATTTATATATATATATATATATATATATATATATATATTCATTTATATTTTTATTCATACGTGGTGTAAATATTTATTCTCATGATCTAAAATCATCAACAAAAACAAAGAGGGGTTTCCAACTAACAGATCATATCCAAACAATATAGATTGAGACCTAAAACGACAGCATCCATATATACCATAGTTGAACCAACATAAATTGCATGTATTTCAAAATAACAAAATGCGAACTTAAGACTCATGAGCTGGGCAGAATTTGACAATATATATGTCATATAAATTGATATAGTAGAAGATTACAAATGAGCAGCACACCATAACATAGTATCATAGCAAAACACATTGGACAAAGAAGAGAAAATAACTCACAACAACACACTTAACGAGAATTTTATAGCTTTAATTAATCAAAACGGTGTCGGTTTAAGATGAAGTGGTACTTTCTTTGCGACAGCGAGTCCAAATATCTCACTCATGTCTATGTCTTGTTTAGGTGTATCAGATTCAGGCAGCTTCCAATCGAACCAATAAAGAAGGTTGGCAAGAACATACTCTATTGAAGTGACTCCAAAATTTATTCCAGGACATCCTCTTCTTCCAAAACCAAATGGAATAAACTGACAATCTTGACCTTTAAAATCAAGCTCACTGTTTTCAAATCTCTCTGGCAAGAATTCTTCAGGGCTTTTCCAAAATTTAGGGTCTCTTTGAATTGCCCATGCATTGATATATACCATTGTTTTTGCAGGAACATCGTACCCTTTCAATTTAACGCTAGATATTGTTTCCCGAGGAGCCAGAAGGGTACCTGGTGGGTGTAACCTTAGAGTTTCTTTGACCACGCACTTTAGGTAATGCATTTGATTGATGTCATTTTCTTCTATATTTGATTTATTCCCTATAATTTTTCTCACTTCTTCCTTTGCTTTCTTCATTATCATTGGATTCCTCACAAGTTCTGAAATTGCCCATTCTAATGTCACCGCAGTAGTGTCAGTTCCTCCAACAAACATATCCTAAAATTATTTGAAAAGATATTTATGAAATTTGTTAACAGTCGACACACTAGTTAAGAATAAAATGAAAATAATTAAGTAATTAAAAGTGATAACGTTTAAATTTTTATCATTTAAAAAATATGTAATTGATAGATTTTAAAGAAAAATAATGCATATATTTAAATTTAATTTCAAGTATGACCTAAACTCAGTCATGAATAATGGTATGTCGAAATTAATGCTAAATCTTTCACTTAAATATATATTTTTATCTCCTACAATTTTGTAAATAAAAAATAAATATAATTTTCTTATATATATATATATATATATATATATAAATATTTTAAATTTCTTTATCTGATAAATAGGAAAATTAATAAAAAGTTGTAAAATTATTCTTCTAACAAATAATCTTAGGCTTGTGCAATAGAGAAAGCTTAAGGGTCTAAACCCTCGAAATCTTGCACTAATATTTTTTTTTTATCTCGAGTAATTACGAGCATCTTAAAAATGTTAGGAAATTTGAAGGCTAAACCTTCGAAGCATAATTAAAAAAGTATCACGGTTTAGGTGGTACATATGATCAGACCAGAGTAAGAGGTGCTCCAGCTGATAAAAAAACAACTAAGAAAATTAAGAAGAAGAAGATAGAGTCATAAATATAAGTGGAAAGCAAGTATAAAAGATAAGATTTTTAAAAAAATATCTATGTCTATCCATATTACTTACAATTCAAATAAAAAATTCATAATGCAACACAATACAGTGAGAAACCAAAACAGTAATATTTTCTTATTTAAGTAATTGTATGACTCTTTAACCAGAAGATTATTACTATGATTTATTTGAGGAAATGGAATCATTAGGATTTTAATATCCTCGTATCTATTGGGATGCCTATATGCATACAAGTTTGTGTAGTTTAAATTTGGAGTGATGAATAAAGGTGCACACAGGGTAACTTATTTGTCCAAAGGCTATAGTTCAGTATACATTAAGTCTTGATTAAATTATACTCATTTATTAAATAGATTAAGTCAAAGTTTGTTTAACTTTTTTAGTTAAACAAATTAAATTTGAATTTATGAAAAAAATTAAATTAAATATGTCAATTTATTTAAAGAAATATAAATAATATCATATTATACATTTTTTAGCTTTATTAATATACTATTTTTAAATTATATATTTATTTTATTTAAAAGTTTAAATTCGTTTATCTCAATATAAGTTATATTTTAATTTATTCAAGGGTTAGTTTCTTTTGCTTATTTAAAAAGCCTCGTTACAAATTATGCTTTTAAAATATAGGATTAAAGATCAGGAGAGAAACAATATATAAGTCATCTTTCTTATTAAAAATATAGTCTTCAAGTAATATTTTTAATGCACAAAAAAAAATCTTAAAAGTTTATACCAAACTCTTAAAAATGTTAGATTAATTCTCAGAAAATAACACAAATTAAATAAATAAGTTAGACTTAATCTTTAAATTTAAAAATTAAGGAGGACTTAAATCTTACAAATCCTAACTCCAGCTAGCCTCTTAGTTATGTAGCGAACGTCTTACTTTATGAGATAGTAAGAAATAATGATAAATAAGAGAAAAAAAAATGTACCACTAGCAGTGCTTTGAGGTCATTTCTGGTGAGCTCAAAGTTATTACGCATGCTGTTCTCTTGAAGTTGGAGAAGGATATCGACCAAGGCTTTCTTTTTGGAGTGGTCGCCTTCTGTCTTCACTGTGAAATGCTCTTCAATTGCCTGATCTAATAAAGCATCAATTGCTCTAGAAGTGGCCTTGTATTCCTTAATTTTTCCAGTGAGCACATCAATCCAACCCAACAAAGGGAAATAATCTCTCCAGGTGAAAGCAGCAAGATGAACCATAACATTCCTTGATAACTCTTTGACACTGCTGTAACCATCTCCCGCGTATTTCCCTCCCAAAACACATTTACTAACAATATCGTTTGATGTTGATGTCAGCATCTCACTTAGATTCACGTAGCAAGGATCACTGGAGCATGCTTCCCGTATCTTATTCACCAATTTGGCAACTTCTTCTTCTCTGATGAGATGAAATGATTGAACCCTTTTCATGCTCAGAAGTTCAAGGACACATATTTTTCTTTTCTGCCTCCATCTTTCTCCATACGGTGAAAAAAGAATGTCGGCACAACCATACACTAAGATTTTTGCAGCAGTGTTTTGGGGTCGGTTTGAAAAAGCAACGTCATGTGTTTTCATGATTTCCATGGCAACATCTACAGATGAAACCACCAGAGTTGGAGTATGCATCTGCCCCAACTGCAACAACATGATGTCACCATACCTGAGTGAGAGATCTCGAAGAGATCGATGTGGCAGTTCACCTAACTGATGCAGATTGCCTATGAATGGTAGTTTTGGTGGTGATGGAGGCAAATTGATCAGGTTTGTTTTGGATTTGGTTTTTCTTAAGAGCTTAAACACATAGAGGAAGCTGATAAAGGAGAGAAGAGATAGATAAAAGGTAGAACTTGAAGATAACATTTGATTCATTTGCTCATACAGCCACTGTTTGAGAGCCATTCTTTTCCAACAACATGCATGGAATGGTGACTACGCACTTGAAACTCTTATAGGAGCGCCATCGTGGTTTTTATCTCTTCTTTTTTCTTTTTTAATTGATTACTCGGTGACTTTTTGTCTGTATTGACTCTTGGAAGAAGCTTTGTAGGAAGGGGTTTTAATTGATTAAAAAAAAAATCTATTTCAATCGATGTAATCTTAAGTACGGCCATATATAATAGACAAATCATACTAAAAAAGGAGTGAATAATTAACCAGAGCAGTATGTGCTATAGCGAAACTTATTACAAAAGAGGAAAACTTAATCACATTAAAATTACTTTCAAATTTTCTTATTGAATAATAATCAGTCTCCCATCTTAAAAATTTTTATTACAAATTGGCACTAGGGTATATACCATTTTAGTAAAATATCATTAATAAAAGTTATTCTACTATTTTAAATTTCAAAGAAAATATTGTACAAATTAATTAGGACGTTCCATGGCAATAAAAATAAGTAATATTATTTATAAAATACAATATGATACTATTTTTTGTGTATCTATGTTGATCTAATTAACTATTTTTAAGATTTTAATTTAAAAATATGTATGTTATTTATATATTTATATTTTATGAAAATATTATTGATCTTATTTTAATTCTATCACATTCATATTCAAATATGACAATCAATTTTAAATTAATAAATACATTACTTTTTGTTTTATTGAAACACTTAATCGCAAAAATATTTTAATTTTAATAAAAAATAAATAACTAATTCATCAAGATTAATAAAATTAATTATGTTATAAATATCTAAAATAAAAAATAAACAACTTATATATTAAACAAATAAATTTGTTCATTTTTTTAAATAATAAGTTACTTATTAGTACACAATTTATAGTAAATAATATGGAAAAAGTTATTAATTAATATAATTGATGTGAGTATATTTTGGTAAATTATGTGGTATAGTTAAAAAATTTTAACCAATAATTTTTGAATACGTGTTTAAATAATAAATTTATTTAATAATAAATTATTATATTTATTATATTTAAACAAATTAAAGAGTAGTTAAATTTTTAAATAGAATTAGAATGTAATTAAAATTAAATAAATTAAAATTTAAAAATAAAATAATAATATTATATTCATATATTTTTTATATTCTTAATTATATTATTATTAATATTTAATTATTAATATATTATGTTATAATTTTTTTATTTAAAAAATATATTCTATTTAAACTGAAAATATATAAAAATAATAAAATAATAAAAAATTTAATATTATATATATATAATAATAGAATTATATAATAAATAATATAATTTTAAATAAATTATATAATATTTTTTTAATTTATCACATATTTATTTTTTATTAATATAAATTTTTTTAAGGTAGATTACCTCTTCTCTAAAATAAAATTTTAGGTACCACATGGCATACCTAAATTAAATTGGGGGTCCTACCCATAATCATTATTGTGACTAGCTGCTTCCCTCGGACATAGCTACAGGATCCCCTCTATTATCCTCAATTGAAAAATGAAGCGCACGACCACAAACTTTGCAATCTATATCTTATAATCCTCCAATATTGAATTCTTATCCAAAATATCTGTAACTGGTGACTGTGAACCACAACTAATCATTATTGTGAATCACCACTTCGCCCAACAATAATTCAACAAAAACGTCAATAATAATAATAATAATAATAATAATAATAATAACTAGAGCTATGTCTTTGCTAAGCGTATATCTTAATAATTTATGTTTGATTTTGGTTGAAAAATATTAAAAACACAAACATAATAGTAACAGATGAAGTTGAGGTTAAAATATTTTTGCACATTTGTATCCTTAAAAGTTATAGTAGATTGGTAACAAGTTTACAAATATATAACATTATTATTCACATCAATTTTATAATATATATATATATATATATATATATAATTTTCTCAAAGAAATATTTTTATGAAAACTCTCATAAAGTTAACTAAAAAGTGATTATATTTAAAATAAAACCATACACACATCCGTTTAATATTAAATTCTAATTCATCATTTAATTATTTAACAACATGAAGGTGTATTTTTTGTTATTATTCCATTTGTTTATTGTTACTTTGTTTTTACATTATTTTTGTACTATTTAAAATATCCTTTATGAAATACCAAGTTAAAGTATTATTTTATATATCAATTTTTATTTTTTAAACAAGTAATAAAACAATATAATTCTGTCTTAATAATAATAATTTTTAATGTATAAAAACTTAATGTAGACACACATATTTATCATCATAAGTTACAATTTTTTTTCTATACTTTCTTGAACGAAAGTCACTCTCTCCTGGTCTAATAATTATTTTTAAATCCTTAAATAAATTCAATGGTGGTATTTGGGGTTTTTTAAGTATTATATCTAAAAATTTAATATTAATTTATGGAAACACGTGTCAAAAGAAAAACATTATAGTCCACTGTAGATTACAATATTATTATTGCCAATTTATAAAAGCAATACTTTTTTGCTTTAAACACGTGACAGAACACCTTCTTTATCGGTGGTGTGATATTTTATTTAAAAAATCTATATAAACAATGCAATTAAATGAAAACTTTCCCGCAGATACATTTGTATGAGTTCATGTTACATTTACTAATAATTAACTTTTAAATGAATTATTAATAAATTATTTATTTTAAAATACCTGTAATGTAATAACAACCTATGAGATATATATATAGCTAACTTTTTAGCAATACATTGTACCTAGTTGAAGAAGGGTAGGTAATGCAATAATGCAAAGGGTCCTGCTTTATACTTGTAAGATATGGAATTTTTATTTTAGCACCTAATAATTCAATCCCAGTGAAATCATCTTAAAATTTAATTGCTTTGATTATGAAGCAATTTCTTTTATAACATGAATTCGTGCTTAGACATGTTTTTGGGTCACAGGCCAAAAAAAACATTGGTGCTACTTGAGATTAAGAAAACCTATTATTATTGAGTTAAGAATGATGCATGCTTTTAAATCTTTAAATTAGTTCAACATCTGGTAATTGATATTATATGTGACTTAATTGTATATCATAATTTTTATCTCATTTACATTTTTTTTAATCTTTTTTATATACAGATTATAAAAATACTTTTAAAATAAAAAGAAACACTATAAAATATATGGTTTTACTGGAAAACATTGTCAAAATCGGTTTATATTTATATTGAGAATGACATTGCTTTTAACCTTTTGTGTTACAAAAAGGCTTTAAAGTGAACAATTTATTGTCAGAGGAAACTCGAGTACAGTATGATAAGTACTTATAAATCATGTCAGTGTTGTTTTTTAGTTGAAATTTCACTTTGATATTGATAATATGTATGGATTTTTAGGGTTAGTATGTTAATTTTAAATAAAAACTTTTATTATACATATTATTAAAATGATTTCAGATTGTTTAACAAATAATCTTATCAGAAATAGGAAAATTCTTCCCAAAAGGAAAAGGAACATCAAATTACAATCATATATATATATATATCATCACTTTATTAGTTATCTTTTTGCGAAAATTTAGAAAAATAATAGAAGTGAAACATTCTGTACTATTCTTGCACGATATGTCAAGGTTTAGATTCAATTCCTAAGGAAAATGGTATTGGTTCAAGGAGAAGAGGAACCTTCTTGTTGACAGTGATCCCATATCTCTCGCTCATGTCTTAGCCTTGCACTGGTCCACCAGTTTTAGGCACTTTCCAATCGAACCAATACAAAAGATTATCTGGGGAAAGCTCAAAGCCAAGAGTACCAGCTTCTTCAAGTCGAAGGAGTATATCCACAAAGTCTTTCTTATCATATTCATCACCCTCCCTCTTCTTGATCTTCTTCCTGTGTTCTTCAATTACCTGATCAAAGAAAGCATATGGTGAACTAAGAGTGGCCTTAAACTTTGGAATCTATAAATATTAATTTAAATTATATAGGTTTTTATGGATAAATATTTTAAAAAATCATATAATTTTTATATTTTAGTTATGACTATTTATAATAAGATTCAATTATTAAAATTTGTTCTCACATCAAATATATATATATATATATATATATATATATATATAATTTATTTTTTTTCTTATTGATAAGGTATATGCTATAGTTCATATTATGAGTAAAAGAATTGAAAGAAAAATAACGTATGTATTGATTCTGAATGAATGAATTACAAAGGAAAGCTATCTAGTTATATAGCTGAAAATTACAAAGAGAGAGAATGGAAAAGCTAACAGACTCAAGGTCAAAAACAAAAAAAGCGTAAAAATGGATTTTGTTATTAACAGTAGTTTCAGCATCTTAATTGATGTGGGACCTTGCAAGTTGTCAAGGTGCACACTATTGTCACCTATTCTGATGTGGCACTTGGCAATTCTAATATTTCTAATAGCCTCCCTCAAGCTGGAGGATGGAAGATGTCCAATACTCCAAGCTTGCAAAGTAATGCGCTGAAATTTTTGGGCAGTAAGGCTTTGGTGAAGAAGTCAGCCACCTGATTGTTGGAAGAAATGGGCATGAGTCTCATAAGCCCATATTGCACTTTCTCACGGACAATATGACAATCAATCTCGAGGTGTTTTGTTCTCTCATGAAACACTGGATTGTTTGTAATGTGGATTGCACTTTGATTGTCCCAGAACAATACTGAAATTTTTGAACATTTGATCTGAAGGTCCTGAAGAAGAAAATGCAACCATTGAAGTTCACAAGTTGCAGAAGCTAGGGCCCTGTACTCTGCCTCTGCTGAGGATCTAGCAACTGTGGGTTGCTTCTTTGCACGCTAGGAAATGAGTGAATCCCCAAGAAAGAAACAGTGACCAGAAATAAATCTCCTGAAATCTATGCACCCTCCCCAGTCTGCATCAGAATATCCTTGCAATTGAAGACTGGACTTTCGTGGGAAGAACAACCCAAGACCTGGGTTCTTTTTGAGGTATCTTAGTATACGGAGAGTAGCCTTGTGATGTGAGACAGT